TGATTTATTGGCAAACCGATGCTTTTTCTTCACCTTTATTGCTGGTTATTTTCCTTCGAAGCAAATTTCATTTCTGATTATGCTGTATGTACGGTTATTTCCTAACATACGCTTTTTGGGGAAAATCCTCTGAATCTAAAAGCTGAAATACATTTCTCTGTAATCCGAGTAGAAACCTACAAATATTTTGTATTTCAGATATAAAGTTGTGTGTTTAAATTAGAAGTGAAGTATGTCAAGCCCGAGTAAGGGTATTAAACATGATAGTCCAGGGGCCCAGGCACCAAGGACCCCCCTTAAAGAATCAAATCGTTTGCCCCTGGCGGAAGGCATGAGAACGCCCCTGAAAGATGGAACAAAAACTCCCTTGAAGGAGTCAGTCTTCTCCTTTTTGGACTCCCCCCGGTCCCCCTTCAAGACCTTGCTCAACTTCGCTAGCCTGGGGAACAGAGGAGCCCTCTCACCAAACAAAAGGGTAAGAACTCTTTTTTTAGGATCATATATTCTCTAGAAATAAGTTTCGTTTCCAAGATTATAGATTATAATTAATTCTTTTATCCCAAAAAAAAATTTCCCTTAAAATTAACTGACACGCTTTCTACCCTTAATGATATTTTTTGCCCCAAAAATTCATTTTTTCCCTTAAATTTAGTTATTTTCCTAAACTCGATCTAATCCAACATTCTTAAAAATATTTCGCTGGTGCAAACAGACCTAATATCTTGTGAAAAAGTATTTTCAATGGTGGGGGGGGGGAGGTCGACGATATAAATTTTCTTTACTTCATTCTAATACAATCAAATGTTTTGTTTAAATAAAATAAAAAAATCCTACGAACCCTGTCTACTATTCTACTAGAATCCTGTCTACTATTCTACTAATTCCTGTCTACTATTTTACTAGAACCCTTTCTTGTATTCTACTAAAACCCTGTCTACTATTCTACTAGGACCCTGTCTACTATTTTACTAGTGGTCTACTAGAACCGTGTCTACTATTCTACTAGAAACATGTCTACTATTCTACTAGAACCCTGTCTACTATTCTACTAGAAACATGTCTACTATTCTACTAGAACCCTGTCTACTATTCTACTAGAAACATATATACTATTCTACTAGATTTTACATTCCCTTTCAAGTTTTTAAAGTGGACTAATAGCATGTTTTTAACTAAGTTTTTATTGCGTCAAAAGATGTCAGTTCACAAATGCTTGAGTTTCGGGAAGATCAGTTCAGATCCTAAATCTTTAAATAATACATTGAGTTTCATTTTCCGCTTGGGATTATTACGTCGATAAATGGGAAATAATCCGTCGAAGCGAGACTTTTTTGGATTTGGCAGACTAAAGGTAGGGATATGTGTCAACTCCGGTCTCAATTATTTTTTATTCATCACGACCCTCCCCCCCCTTCCCCCTTTAAACCCTCCCTCAATAGTTTAACAATTTGGGATACTTTAACAAGTTTAATTGATGAAAATCAGTTCATGTTCTCTGTGACGCAAACTGTTTGGCTTTACGCAGTACGCAAATTTAAAAAGCTAGCGGGGGCAGCCTGAAATATTATGAGTGATGCAACAAATCATGAAAATGAAATCAATGCTAAAATTAGAACACAATCAAATTTTTTTTTTGTTTTGAAGGGATATTTTTTGTAAGTGAAGACTTGGAAAGACTAAAGAAAAGTAAATTTGGAAAAAAATATAGTAGAAATTATTATTTAATATCCCGATAGTTAGATTTTTCAGGATTAGTTCAGTCACTTGATTCAAAATTTTCTTAAGAAATGAATTCAGTCTTGAATCACAATATTATTTATTAATAAAATCTTTTAAGTTCATTAATTTAAATATCTACGTATCTAATTATCGAAGTTGTTCAGTGTTATTTCAAGCTTTTCCCCTTTACTCTTCATTTCTCCCTTTCCCTTACCTTTCCCCTCCCTACCCCCTACCCTATACCCCTCCTTCCCTCCCTCCCATTACATTTAAGATTTAAACTATCCAATACAATTTTGTCAGTGTTTCCTACTTCTTCCAGTGAATAGCACACCGCATACTATTTCTTTATGTACACTGTACACTATACACTGTACACTGTACACTGTACAGGGGACATTTTAAAAAGTTATTGTAGACTGTACAATGTACAGTTTGCTTGTTAAATTGAGTTACTATTTAAAGAGTTATTTTAGACTGTACTTTTCAATGTACAGTTTGCTTGTTAACTTGNTTATTGTAGACTGTACTTTACAATGTAAAGTTTGCTTGTTAAATTGGGTTACTATTTAAAGATTTATTGTAGACTGTACTTTACAATGTACAGTTTGCTTGATAAATTGGGTTACTATTTAAAGATTTATTGTAGACTGTACTTAACGATGTACAGTTTGCTTGTTAAATTGGGTTACTATTTAAAGGATTATTGTAGACTGTACTTTACAATGTACAGTTTGCTTGTTAAATTGGGTTACTATTGAAAGAGTTATTGTAGACTGTACTTTACGGTGTACAGTTTGCTTGTTAAATTGGGTTACTATTTAAAGGATTATTGTAGACTGTACTTCACGATTTACAGTTTGCTTGTTAAATTGGGTTACTAATTAAAGAGTTATTGTAGACTGTACTTTACGATGTACAGTTTGCTTGTTAAATTGAGTTACTATTTAAAGAGTTATTTTAGACTGTACTTTACAATGTAAAGTTTGCTTGTTAAATTGGGTTACTATTGAAAGGATTATTGTAGACTGTACTTTACAATGTACAGTTTGCTTGTTAAATTGGGTTACGATTTAAAGGATTATTGAAGGGTGTACTTTACGTACAGTTTGCTTGTTAAATTGAGTAACTATTTAAAGATTTATTGTAGACTGTACTTTACAATGTACGGTTTGCTTGTTAAATTGGGTTACTATTTAAAGATTTATTGTAGACTGTACTTTACGATGTACAGTTTGCTTGTTAAATTGGGTTACTATTTAAAGGATTATTGTAGACTGTATTTACAGTTTGCTTGTTAAATTGGGTTACTATTTAATGAGTTATTGTAGACTGTACTTTACGATGTACAGTTTGCTTGTTAAATTGTGTTACTATTGAAAGAGTTATTGTAGACTGTACTTTACAATGTACAGTTTGCTTGTTAAATTGGGTTACTATTTAAATGATTATTGTAGACTGTACTTTACGATGTACAGTTTGCTTGTATGTTAAATTGAGTGACTATTTAAAGATTTATTGTAGACTGTACTTTTCAATGTACAGTTTGCTTGTTAAATTGGGTTACTATTTAAAGGATTATTTAGACTGTACTTTACGGTGTACAGTTTGCTTGTTAAATTGGGTTGCTATTTAAAGGATTATTGTAGATGTACAGTTTGCTTGTTAAATTGGGTTACTATTTAAAGTTATTGTAGACTGTACTTTAAGATACACAGTTTGTTTGTTAAAATGGGTTACTATTTGAAGATTTATTGTAAACTGTACTTGACTGTGTACAGTTTGCTTGTTAAATTGGGTTACTATTTAAAGGATTATTGTAGACTGTACTTAACGATGTACACTGTACAGTTTGCTTGTTAAATTAACTATTTAAATGATACTGAACACTTTAAAATTTATATTTATAATCATTTTTTTATTTGAGTTTAGTCTAGAACATTTAACAATTTTATTGTATGCAAGTTTATTTTCCTGTTTATAAGATAAAATCAATGTTAGTAAACAATTTGGTTAAGTGTGAGAACTAGAGATGTGCATCGGTTTTTTGGTTTACATTTTCTGAATAATCATTCACATTTTAAAAAGTTTTATTCGCTAAATCAGTAAAAAGGATTGCCAGAAAAAATTAACCATTTTTCATTTTTTCGCCAAGAGCAACGAAAATGAAAGGGGATAATTCTTGCAAATATTGTCTGCCCTGTTCGTTTTATACTTTTTCATTTATCTATTCACAATGGTACCTTTCAAAGCAGTGCTTAGGAGGGAAAAATATTAAGCAAAGTCGGATAATAAAAAGTTTTTTCTCAAAGCACAAATCTTAATTGTTAACTATTAAAAGATTTTAAAAAATCTATGTATTGTTTTTTAGTTGCAGCAAAAAAATGTTCATAATCCAGATTCGCATCAAAATAAAATGAATCCTAAGCACTGCGTCTAACTTTGTCTAAATACAATAAAAAACGGGTAACTCGAAAGAACGTATTCAGTCCCTTTAAATATTTAAAAACCCACCAAAAGTCTAAGCCCGTCTCTAGTGAGCAGGCTGTGTTACATGAATTACGTGAGAAAATATTGTGAATTTTATAAATATCTTCAGTTGGTTGTTGGGATGCCTTATCACGCGGAACTGACAGAATATTTACATTTTTATTTATCAAAACTTTTTGTTTAATCAATGGTATGATTAAGTTTTGAGTCGCTTCTTAAGATAGGCATATCAGATTATAAGACCTAATTTATTGAATCATATGTAATTGTAATGTTACTAAAAGGGTAAATTGAAAATTAGAATTTTCAAAGAGAAATCTTAAACAATTCGTAGAAGCAGTATTTTTGATTTATAGATGTTTTAAATATCTTTCACATTTTATTTTTTTTTTATTATCTTTCACCTGACAAAATGTTCAAGAAAATTTTAAAAATGTAGTATTTTTTTCTATTTAAACAGCATGCACTTGAGTATTCTAGCTTAGTTTATAATGCTTATTTTAAATATATTCTAAATAAATTCATTATATTTTTCAAGAAATTCTGGGGTTTATGTCTTCCAAAAAAAACCTTTTTCAAAAAAAAAATAATTTTTTCGTTGTCGATGTTTTTGCGCATTTTAGCGGTTTTTTATTTGGTTTTATCTTTTGACTCAACCCTTATATTTAAGCAGTTATCAATTACATATTTCGTTAAATTTTATCGTCTTTGCTTGAAGATTGTAACATATTAATTCAGTATCTTTTAAAATTGAAATTGATCGTCTTTTGTCAAATATTACTTGTTGGCTTTGTATTTAAATAAGTTGCCTCATCAATTGTGGGGCTTTGAATATTTTATTTAATCTCTCATTTCACCTATTTTTTTTGCTTGAAACTGTTACTATAATTGAATTTTTAAGCCTTTTCATACTTTCTCCATTTTTTATGTTTCACCCCTTTCACTTAAGAGCAATCCTCCCTTCTTTTCTATGTTAATGTAGCAGAACAAAATATAACTTCTTTTCAACCTCACGCATATTTTCTTTGCATAGAAAGGGGTGCACAATGCACATTGAACAAAGGGGTGATATAGATTAGATTATAATAAATGTCTTTTAATTTGTCCATTATTATTTCGTTTTTTCTGTAAATTTCCATTTCATTTATGTTTTTGACCGTGGGGCGTTTCTCATTTGTAAAAGGGGGAATTGTATGCTAAAATTAATTGTTTACACTCCCGGGCTTGAAGACCTTACTTAAAACATATCTTGAATTTTTGCTTTTCTTCGAAACAGATGTGAATTGATACATAGTGCTAACAAGAATCATGTATACATTGTACTTGTCTGTTTGTTTCCAATAAACGTCAAAACGGTTGAACCGATCGAGCACAAATTTTTTGTGTAGCAACCTGCATGGCCCATGAAAAGGTTTATAAAGACTGTCAAAATTGAACATTTTCACCAGAAAAAAATTTCAAATTTATTTATTGAAAATGCGACAATTTAGTTAGAAGAATGCACGAACATTTGAGAATAATAGCGACTTTCATAGCTATGATTAAAAACTAAAATCGATGATAGTACTTGAAAAAAACGACAGAGCATTTTGGATTTAAAAAATATTTACTCAGTTCAGAGGAATCATTCCTACACCTTTCCCCTCCCCTCATTCACAGATCTCCAATTTCTTCCCAATCCCCTCAACTCCCCACCCTTTCATGCACTCTTCATCTCCCCCTTTCTCTAATTCCCCCCTTGACCATTGCATCTGTCGTAGTTGTAGAGTTGTAAGTGTGTAGTCGAAAGTTGGGGGGAGGGGGTGGGAAGAGTGTTAACTCGTTTTTATTGAAATTTATTTTTTCACACGTTTCAATAATTTATTAT